CAAATATGCCTTTCTCTTAAAAATCAACCGATTTAGGAGGCAGTTTCTTAACTAAGCGACGTAAAATACATGACCATTGCTAAGCAGGGATATACAACTTTCCTCTTTCTCTATTTCGTTGACAAATTAGCACTGCCTACCGACGTGCAGCATTGGCACACAGGTAGAATGGTCACCGACCACGCACATGGTCCAGGGTTTGAACCCCGGTCACAGACGCACTCCTTTACCTCTCTAAGCCTGTAGTAAGACTGGTAAAGAGGGAAGGTTGGTTTGGGCATTAGGCTAGCAACCTCATCCTGTAAAAATAATCATCACTGCTACAGAAACTTCAAGGCTCTAGCTTGAAGGCGCTCTGTGTTCCACTGGGAACGTGAAGGAATAAAAAAGCCGATGACATGATACAGTGTATTTCCCAGAAACTTCAAAATTCACTGCATATTTATAACCACTCACAATCAGTGAGTCAGAGTCAGATGTTTTCCAACTTCATAGTATCGTATCACAGAAAACTAACAGTTTTCAACTCCATTCAGTATATATTCGTGTGAGAAACTTGTTGAAGAGTTATCAGCTCAAATGATACTCATAGCTGACTTCAAGCTATCCTAACATTATTTTGTACTTCCAGTTGATTAAACTTTACTGAACCGAAAATGGTCGATCTCTGTTGATATATTAGCAGCCTAATACACAATTTTCGATGAGGATAAGAGGCAGCTCTTATGGTCCAGTAGATAACTACTATTTAGCGTTTGAAACCCCAGTTGTTGGATGGTTGGAGAAAATCAAAAGAAAGTCTAAGATTTCGTGCTCATTGGCACTCACTAGTCAGCGAGGTGTGTCGGCAGTATGGAAGAAAATCGAAACCGAGTTACCAAGTGCTGCTTCCAGAAACGTGAACACTGAGTTATACGGGTTCAGCGGAAACAATAGGTGCTGGTTTCAAGTTTCAGGCGGAAGATTTCCAAATACTGAGAATGTAGGTAGATGCAGATTATTATTATTATTGTTTCCTTTAGTTCCTAGGGGAATATAGGGCTTCAGCCTCGCGTCTTTATTGCGTTCGGTTCTCTGCCAACGTTTTCACTTGGCTCCATGTCTGCCTAAATGATTTCATCTCCTCTCCTCATCACCTACTCCATGTCACCCTACCCTTGTACTGACGACAAACTCGCTGCTTCCCGTTAGGGTTCCTCTCGAGCATATTTCGTGCACAACCTGTACTTGGATGGTTTGCTACCAGAGATCCCTGTTGCTGATCTTTTCTGGCCGGCCATCTGATCTTGAGCGAAGTATTAAGCGAAGACAGATGTTGATGAAGGTCTGTAGCTTGTTCGTAGTGTCTTTTGTGACGCACCAAGTCTCTGATCCATAAAGTAGCACTGATATCATATCGGAGTTAAAATTTCGGATGTTATTTTTAATAATGAGTGCTGTTGATCTCCACATAGACTTGAGAATAATGAAGCCTTGCCTTGCTTTCCCGATCTTTACTTTGATATCGTCGTCAGTTTCGCCTGTAGGTGAAACGTTTCTTCCCGGGTAGGTAGGTGGGTAGGTGAAGGAGGTTGTTAATTCCAGATTTCGCCCATTTATGCTGATTTTTGTCTGTTGTTGTAGCTGTCGCTGTTGGCCAGGAATTTTCATCACCTACCTCTGTCTTCTCTATGTTCACCTGAAGGCCTATTCTCTGGATGCTTCTTTTGTCAACTTGTTGCTTTTCACTTGCATATCTTCCAGTTTGTAGGAATTCAGACATATAGCATCGGCGAAGTCCAGATCTTCCAAGATTTTTATGCGGGTCCATTTTATGCCTGTTTCATCACTGTCTGTCGCACTGTCCAGTCTACCGCAATCAGGAAAATCATCGGAGATAATAGGCAGCCGGCCAGCCAGCTTTGCCTTGCGTCCGTCTTCACTTCGAAGGATTCCGTGAGTTTCACGTTGTGGGTTACTTGTTATGCAGCATTGTCGTACAATTGTTGGATGATATGTATAATTGTTGGCGGCACCCCTTGGTAGTAGCGAAATAGTCATCAAATCACCTATTCATCGACGCTGTCGAAGGCTTTTTCAAAGTCGACGAAGTTGAGATAGAGAGGTGACTGCCATTCCAAGCTTTGTTCAATGATGATCCGTAGTGTTACGATTTGATCGATCCATGACTTGTTCCTCTTGAATCCAACCTGTTCCGGTCGAAGGTTTTCATCCAGGTGGGTGTGTTTTATTCGCTCCAGGATGGTGCGGCTTAGTATTTTGCTTGAAATGTACAGGAGCACAATGCCGCTCCAGTTCTTGCATTGACTTAAGTCTCCTTTCTTTGATAGGTTGAATAAGTAGCCTTTCTTCCAATCCGCAGGTACCTTGAACTCTTTCCCCACCTTCTTTAGCAACGGTGTCATCAATTCCGCTTATGTCTTTGGATCCATTTGCAATCCTTCTGCTGGGATTCATTCTGGTTCTGCTGCTTTTCCAGGTAAATCCAGGTGACGAGCTCTGAGTAAGACGAAACGTGCATTCTGAATTTTAACCAAATAAGTAATTTCAAAATGTTTCGTTTATTACGAGTAAACAGTATCAAAAGATATGGTATTTTCTTCTGTTGAGCACATGAATTATTTCCATCATCACATGATTAGAAATGGTATGAAGATCATTTCAGTGGAATAAGAGTTATTATAAAGAGTAAACGTGTCATATGTTGTGGAAAGGCTAAGACAAATATTGATTGTATCAACTTACTAACTGTTTCTCTAAATGACACGTGTTGTTCAATATTCACGTTAAAACAGACTATTTGATGATAAAGAATTATGAACAAGTAAAACTACGAAATACTCTCTACCCTTTTTTGTTATCGTAAACTTGCTGATTAAATTTAAAATTCAACTTAGCGTAACACCTCAGCGTTGCAGCAGCAGAATACTCGTCAACCACGCCATAAATGATCTGTAGTTCGATACCGGGCTACCGACACACTCCTTAGCCTCGCTAGCCTAGCCCAATAATAAGCCTGCTGAAGAGAGAAGTTTGGGCTTGCAGTTAGCAAACCCACCCCAAAACAAAACGCACTGCTACAGAAACTACGAATACATAAAATCTTAAAGGTGTTACACACTTTATGAGGAAGTGACGGAATGAAAAGTGGTAAGTAGTGGTTATTGAAAATCTACATAGACACTAGAGTAGAAATATGGCTTATTGAGCTAACCACTTGATTCCGTTCACCTAACAGGTCGTCTCACGGTTCGAAACACATTCCTAACCCTTGGCCAGAGTTAAGTCAAAGACGTCACATGGAATTGGTATCAGTTTTCCAACTTGACTAGACATCTTTTCCAGCTTAGGTGTATTCCGATTTGACACTAGTAACTAGTGTGGTATGTTTAGTCCTTTCTTTGGTGCAGACTGAATTCTATCAGTCAGGTTTGCAATGTGGCCACCATTCTATGCAGATCGCCATCACGGTGCACGTTGATTTGATGATATTAGATGGTTAGAGGCAATCGGAAGTAAGCCTTGAACGCACCTAGGTTTCGTTTTAGTTGGCATTCACCAGTCAGAAAGGCGTATCTGCAACTGTTTTGGAGGAACTCATGTCCCTTCTGAGATTCGCACCCTCATTACCCAGTGCTGTGGTCAAAGACCTTAGCACTGATCTATTTTGGCTTGCGATTGACCTCCTACTGACGAGTGCCAACTAGAGCGAAACATAGGTCCAAGGCTTCCTGTGGCCGATCGCCTACAACCATATAATATCATGAAATCAATGTGCGCCGTGATGGCAAGCTACCTAGAATGGTAACTATATTGTAAACCTGACTGACAGAATTCAGTCTGCACCAAAGAGAGGATTAGACACGTCACACTAGTTACTAGTGTCCAATTAAACTACCCAATACAGTCCTATAGGAGGTCAGTCGTGAGCCCGAATAGCACAGTGGTAAGGTCTCTAACTGCAATGCTGGGTGACGAGGGTTGGAATCTGAGAAGGGACATGAGTTCCTTCAAGGCAGTTGCAGGTACGCCTTGGTGACTGGTGAGTGCCAACTAGCACGAAACCTAGGTGTGTCCAAGGCTTCCTGTGACCGATTACCTCCAACCATCTAATATCTAGCTGTATTTCGCTTAACACTGTTCACTGAGGCAGACCACGGCTTAGCAAATGTATAGTACATGTTAAAATCATTCTAGAGGATGGAGCTTATCCAACCATTCTCCCCCCGCCACGCACCATTCGGTTGGATGGATATTGTTTCAAAAACAGTGAAGAATCAAGTAGCAATTAATAGCCTATCAGTCACAGCTATCGATCCGATAGCAATAACTCTATTGAGGATTTTGGTTACGACCGTCACTCCTCAGCTAGTGGGTTACACGAGGACAATCTCTGATTTTCAGTAGATCGAGGAGTTTAGATTTTCGGGTATTATTAAATTACCAAATGAATTCACTTAGAGAACCGCTGAAAACCATCAGGCGGAACTGTACAGCTGTTTCCCCCTTGTTTGGAACTCTTCAGTAGCACGTACCTATGGCGCCACCCACAGGAGATTGAAACTAAGAGCTTCGTATCACAAGACCAGTCCGTATACCATTCAGCTAATCACGGCGGAATCCAATGACCCACGAATTTTAACCGCTACCAGCGAGTATTTGCCCCCCCCCCAAAACACACACACAATGTGATGGATACAACTGGTCATGACTTCTCACTGGAACTCCAGACATTTTAACCTGTGGCCAATCACTAGTGAGCATTCTACTAATTTTGTACGGATCTGATTGGTTCTCTTCATCATACATAGACAAAGAAGAGTTTACTAATTCTGTTAAATGTAATATAACTGAAAATAACTACTAGTTTGATACCGAAACGTTCACAAATGTTAATTAATAATAACAATAACAATAATAGACAGAATGATACGAACCTGCATGTTGTACATCGGAAGCAGTGTGTATGAAATGTCTTCCCCAGCACTGTCACCACTCACCTTCCACATAGCCATGACATGTTTCACATCGTACACCAAATTCTGATTGATAATCATTTGGACAGTAGAATTTTTTGTCTTTAACAAAGAAACCACCTTGTTTCAAATTTTTTCGGCATTCTATCAATTTTTTGATAAAAAAAAGGGAAAAAAGAAGGAAAATAAAATAATTAGCCAGTTAAATCATTTCTTTGTCTTTACAGAAGAGATGCATATTGGATTATGCAATACTTGTGGCATCAGTTACTAACAAAATTCATCAGTAGTATATACAGATGCCGATTGATAGGAAATAGCAAAAAACTGAAACAGTATTTTAATTACTTAATGGCTACAGAAGCAGAAGCGTTTATTTCTCAAATCTGGGTTTAATGTCTATGTTGTGTTCAGGAAATCATCTCATTGGACAACGTTTATCTCAAGGTTTAACCTACAGAAAACCAACAACCATTCAAAACAGTTTATTATCTGTTGACCTAGCCTACCATAAATGTGGCTAAAAATGTATAAATGTGGTGTGTTTTTGCTCAATAAGAAAAAATTCCATCCCCTGGGGCATACTTACTTATACATTGAAAGCATTTGTAGTGGATAAATTGTTGTTCAATCTTCAATACATCACCTTTACATCGTTTATGGCATACAGTACAATAGACTTTAACTAAAAGAAACAATAAAAACATAAAATTAAGAGTAAAAGGGGAATAAATTTACAATAAAACAAAAGGTGGAAATTCAAAATGAATACATGAGAATTGCTTTTTATGCTTACATAATTACAAGTGTATGTTACAAGGCACATTTCGTCCTATTAGGGACTCGACAACTGGATTTACCAGCAATACCCAGTGAGTGAGCAAGTGAGTGATGCTGTTGCTCTAGAGGCGCAAATCTAACATCCATGATTTCAAATGCCACTGAGCTGACATGTCAACAAAGACGGGTCGCTTTAGTCCAGTACAAATCAATCAACGAGGAATTCACAGCAACTTCAACAAATGTATAAACATACAATGATACAAGAGCTATTTACTGTTGACGATTCGAGTACAGTTAATTGGTCATAATTATATCAATCAATCATATCATACCTGAATCTGATGGCCATTATTGTTATATCCCTATGGTTGAAGTGGAACATGGGGCTTACACAGCACACCTCCTCTTTAGCTATCGTCTCCTCCATGTCAAATTTGGATGACCAACTCACGATTTCCTAATTAAGTGTTGGTTTGTGGGGATTTGGCTGGTTACAGGATTTTATCATGAGCTGACATTGGTTAGAGAACCATTAGAAAACTAGCTGGGAGTACTGGAGAGCAATTTCGTCCTAGTTTGGGACTCTTCATCAATACGCATCCACCGCAAGGGTTCGAACCCAGGACCTTCTGGTTACAAGGCGAGCTCGTATACCATTAAACCACTGTGATCCAAGCTAGAACGATTAGCTGTCCAGTACTCCCAGGTTTTCTAATGGTTCTCTAACCAATGTCAGCTAATGATGAAATCACGGTTCCCCATTGGCATTCCACTAAAGCGATAGTCTGATACGTGATTTGACCCAACGGTTGCCTTCGACATATTAGTTGGTTCATCGTACTGCAGAGCTCCTAGTGGTTAATTCTTTCTGGAAGGCTATCTGATTTCCAGCATAGATCTAGGGAAGGCAGCTGTCGATAAAGATCCGAGGTTGACTTTTGAAAATCTTTTTTTCATGACTCACCCGACAAGTCTCTGAACTCCTTATAGAAGACCTAACTGACGTAACATCAGTATATTCTAAATCTAAATCTTTTTTCTTGATGCTGAATGCGATAGGTTTCGACAATAATTTCTAGACATCTGACTTGATTATGATCATTAACTTGAGCGTTGCGAAGTGGTGTTTAGTGGTAGACCATACTCGCCAGTTTCACATATGGTCTGGTTCTGATACCCTGCACCGCCGATGGACGAATTTCAAACCTCACCTAATCCATTTACCACAGCCAGTAGTAAGTATGGAAGGATGAAAAGGTCATCGAGCATAAGGCTAAGCTAGAAAACTCAAACAATGTAAAGGGAAATCTGAGACTTCCAAAAGCTTGAGGCCATACATATCCTCGAGACGTCATCATTCTACGACTGAATTATATGCTCCTCCACAGTGTCCAAATTTTATTCTCATATTTCTTTTTGTTTTATATAAATTACTATTTTAAAGTATGTTACCATAGTAACAGGATGGTAAATAAACTAGGGAAATTGAACAGAAATTTTGGAAAACATAAACAAATCAAAATTTAAATGACCATGAATAATAAACGTATCATGACATATTGGGAATTCCAGATTAGGAGAGACAAAGAAAAAGAAATAGATGGAAGGGTGTAGGAAACGAAGAAGGACAAAAGTGTAGACGAGATGGAAGTGGTATAGAAGTGACGGAAAAAACTAATAACTAGGCTAAACTTTATTGCACATTCGAAATAAAAGGAAGACTAATGGAATAATAATACCAATAATAGCAGTAGTATTTTGATAGATTTTTAATCAATATGGTCAACATATATATATATATATATTTATATTTATCAACCAGTGAAATAGGCAAAATAAAATCTTCAAGTGTTGGTCTACAGGGAATTGATCGGTTACAGGATTTCATCGTGAATTGACACCGGTTACAAGGCGAAGTCGCAGACCATTAAACCCCTGGGACCACAACTCGTTGGCCCATGAATTCCAACTTCTGCTAATCATTTAGGTGGACGAGTCCCAGTGGCTGAATAGTCTACGAGCTCGCCATGTAACCGGAAGGTGTCCTTGGTTTAAAACCCTGTATTAGGTGCATACTGATGAAGAGTTTCAAACTAGGACAAAACAGCTGGTTGTCTAGTACTCGAATACTAGCTTTCTAATAGTTCTCCAACTGATGTCAGCTAAAAATAAAGTCTGTTTTGTTGATGTGATTTCAACCTTCTATAAAAGACAGAATATTAAATGATCTGAAAATCTTCGTCACTCAAGCACCAACAACAAAATTCGGTCGGATTTTCAATACAAACGTCAAGTCAGTCAGTTCTTCTATACGGACTGATCAGAAACTTGGCGGCCGCGTCACAAAGAATATTTCCAACAGCCTGTTGCAGACCTTTGTCAACTAAAAACAGTCTTCGCTGGATCTAAACTGAAGATCAGATGGCCGGGCCGGAAAGAATCACCAACAAGAAACTATGGGAGCAAACAAAACAAGAACCAATCGCCAACCAAAAAATATGCAGGAGAAAGTGGAGATGGATTGGACACTCGCTGAGGAGGCCGCTGGGTGACATCGCGCATCAGGCTCTTGCTCGAGTGGAAGGGGCGAGTGGGACGTCAATGCAAGGATGACATGGAGGAGATCATGCGAAGAGGAGTTGAAACAGTATGGACTGAGATGGATGCAGGTGAAAAGTACAGCAGCAGAAGACAGAATCAAGTGGAGACGTGCAGTTGCCCTATGTTCCACTAGGAACCCAAGGGAACAATAATAATAATAAAATGAGGAAATATTAAATGATCTACGTCGCTTGTTGTTATGAGTCAACCATCGATCTGTTTAAAACTTTGGGGAGGCGGGGGGCTTTACCGAAATATACCATCACTGCATTGCGTTAAATTATTATTATTATTATTATTATTATTATTATTAGATCATGGTCTCGAATGGTGATGGTGTATTTTCTAGTCTCGTGAGTATTTAAAACAACCCTGTACAACTTCCTGACTCTCAAGATTCTGGTAAAATTCAGAAAGAAGCAAAATCGTGGATGGGTGTATACACACTGCCACTACCTGAGAAATGAAACTAACTAACTCATAAACTACTAGAAGTCTCCAACCATCCAGCTGTTATTACGTCCAAGGGTCAGAAAATAATGTGTACTCATGCATCTTTTTTAATTGGCTTTCAATCAAGTGTAATGCATTTCTTGTAGGTGAAGAGGGGGTGAAGAAGAAATACCATAAGGGATTGATATTCTCTCTTCAGGTCAGATAGAAATGTGACACACGATTTACTGTCAGCAGTTACCATCCTACTTGAAGAATCTGAACAAAGAGAAACTATTACGTAATAGTTTCCGTTGGAAATATTACAGATTATATATATATATATATATATATATATATATATATATATAGAGAGAGAGAGAGAGAGAGATTATAAGTGATGAATAAGGATATTCGAAAATTTGAGCCACGGCTGGATTCAAACTGCCGGCTTTTGAATTATAGTTATCCCACGTCCTCCCATTTACCTGACCTACTAGTAGACCCTTTCCATTCCAGTTGTTAAGATGTTGGTTGGTAAGGGCGGAATGAAAGACAGATGGGAATGATGCCCATTGCATCCATCAACCCAGTGAATCATTAAACTAAGGTGGTTAGTATATTTACCAGTACTTTTTATTGATTACCATCCACGTCCCACAATTGGCCCAGCGCTTGACTCCTGGCTACCGAAGTACTGCCAAACCTCACCTAGCCGGTATTAAACCTGATAAAACAGGGAAGGTTGCCCGTGAGGTTAGAAACTTCACACTGTAAAAGATGAAATCCCAGCTACTGGAATACCAAAGCCTAAACCTAAAGCCGTATGTTCTGCTGTAAATGCGTGGAAACTAGATAAACAGTAGAAAGAATAAGTCAGTTCTCATGCTCATACACATATACTCACACGATTTGTGGAATTACAAGTCATGATAAGAAGAGTTGATAACCGTTGATTCTCACCATTATCTAAACTTATCATCAAAAATATAGAATTTAATTGGTGGATGGTGACTAGCAGTGGAATCTAGGACAACGCGGATTTCGTCAAATTCGGGACTAGTCGACTGGCAGGTGTACCTGCATTCCCCAATGAGTGGCGATATTCCCACCGAGTCTCAAATAGGACGAAATGCGCATTGTCCTAGATTCCACTGCTAGTCACCATCCACCAATTAAATTCTAATTACTTGCCTAGACATCGTTGAAGCATCTGTACAAGAAGCCGACATGTTAACCTGAGAACAAGCACTTCGGTCCAATCAATCGACGGGAAAATCTAAAATTCAATTGAATTATTATCAAATAGTCTTCAGATAATCGGCCTGAAGGTAATTCGATAACTATACCACCTTACTGCAAGGGAAGTTTGCAGTTCAGATGTGTTTGATTGGGAGATCATTCTACTTCTGAAGAAAACCATGATTAGGAATGAGTATCACTGACATTTTATGGACAGAATCTGACAAGGTGAGCACTGCCCATTTACTGTAGAAGATACTGTATGTGAACCTAAGCTTCAAAGGTGGCTCATTAGTTTTTTTTATAATTTTATTTCTATACGCTCGTAGTGGAACACAGGGCTTTAAACGAGAGGTTTGAAGTTCTGATAGCAGTGGTTTTTATTTTCACGGAGTGAAGTTGCTAAGCTCATGCCCAACCTCCCCTCTTTGCCAATCTTATTGCTGGATTAGCGACGTAAAGGATTATGTAGGTCAGAGATTTAACCCGGAACCACACGCGCGGTTGGCGAGCATTTTACAGCTGTGATAACATTTTTCTCCGCACCGAAGTTAACATTAATATTCTCTTATTAGACGTTGTTACGTAACATCTCAGAGGATAAACTGTCGTAATTAACTAATTCTA